GCCACTGTGCCTCGCTAAGACATCATTTCTCTTTCACTCTTTTAGAATGGAATTGGTCCCTCCTCACTTGTTTCCACTACGTCTAGGGGCAGAGGAAAGATGGACGCTGTATTGTTTTAGGGTAGAGGAAGGAGGCACCATATTTTGTCCTCATTTTGTGTCTCTTAACATTGTTCTTATCTTCAGCAACTCCCTGTCCTAAAACCATTTGCTAGGCTACTAAGTACCGTGATAATAACTTTCCCAAACAGGAGCTCTGGTCGCTCCTCCTTAGCCCTTACATCCATTTCAAACCCTTCATTCTCCTGGGAGACTCCACTCATGGGGGATTTATTCTCTGCGCATTCCAGATGCATGCTTTTATAATTTTCCAACTTCAAGATACTTTACCTCTATTCGACTTCAGACATAATTGTAGCCACACCGTGGTCAGTACACCCAACTTTGGGATAGCTTCATCTTTAAAATGTCATAGTGACTTTTTCCTCTACAGGTTTGAAGTTAGGATTAAATGACAAAGTGCCCATGAATGCCTGCCTTGAATGGATACCCAATAAATGTTTCTTTCCCGGACCTTTCTTTCTGTTGAAAGGCGGGGACATGCATTGAAAACTCTATTTCTTTCCCTACTATCTGGAAGATCATTTGAATTTAAGTTTAACAGTCTGTTAAATGACATCTCTAGGGTCTGTGTTCTCTCTGGCACTGGAGAGCTGCTAGCATCCAATATTGTGGGCGGCAATTGTACTAATAAATATAGCACAATACCCACCCTTTTAATTACAGAATGTTCTTGTAGAGAAGTAACACTGATTCCTATCTGATTAATATGTATAGGTTTTGCTTTTGGCTACATGCCAGTGATCTTCATCTTGACGAGAATTTCTCTGGCCTCATAGTTCTCTTTGCTGCCTCTCTTCCATCAGTGAATTTGTGTGAACAGACCCACCCCAGACATGTGACAGATTCCTTAAACCACAAATCTTCTCCCCTGCCCGAGGGACTTAAAATGGGTGAGTGTATTGTCTTATCTTAGGGTTTACTGTTGCTGTGATGAAACACCGTGACTAAAACAACGTGGGGAGGATAGAGTTTATTTGGCTTATGCTTCCACATCACTGTTGACCATTGAAGGGAGTCAGGACAGAAACTCAAGCAGGGCAGGAACCTGAGGCAGGGGCTTTACCTGCCAGACATGAGCTTGGGGTTTGAGGTTTGTTACTGATGAAAAGCCCTCTTTATTGTTATGCTCTAGGAGTGGCAGCTGAGTGATATTTGTGCACGAAAAGCTAAGTGACTCCTCTGAGAGGCTGAAGGAGTCCAGTCCACCTTAGCCACGTGTTACCTTTGCATTCAGATAGAATAATTAGGCTCAGACTCTTCTCTTTTCTAAGTGGCAATGATGCCTATGTGGGCATTAATCTTAACTGTGGACTTGACCGGATCTAGAATCAACTAGGAAACTGCTAGGTGTGACTAGATGTGTGTGAGGGAGCATTTCCAGGCAGCATTGGTCGAGGGAGGAGACACCCGACCAAGGCAACAGGCTCTTCCAGCTGCAGCCCAGCTGTAAAGGAATTCTAGCAAAGGGTAGTGCTCTGCTTTGCTTTGCTTCTTGCTGGTAGGTGTGGCTACCCTGCAGCTGTTGCTGCTGCTGCTTCCTTGGCCTTCCACCGGAGACTGAATACTGGTGACTCTCTAAGGACCATCATAGCCCTCAGGGCATCCAGCTTGGTGGACTGAACTGGGGACTCAGCCTCTTTAGTGTGCAAGAAACTACCCTTGGACTGCACATCCCCTATGGAATAAGCCAACTGAACAAACCTCCCATACATAGATCTATCTATCTATCTATCTATCTATCTATCTATCTATCTATCTATCCATCCATCCATCCATCCATCCATCCATCTATCCATCCATCCATCTATCCATCCATCCATCCATCCATCCATCCATCCATCCATCCATCCATCCATCCATCTATCTACCTACCTATCTATCATCTCTATCCATCCATCTATCTCTCTCCTATCAGTTGTGTTCCTCTAGAGAACCACTGTAGTTGGAATTTTCTTTGGGCCACCAACCAGCACCCAAATAAAGACATGGAGACTTATTATTAATTATGCATGCTCGGCCCTAGCTTTGGCTTGTTCCACTAGCTCTTTTAACTTACTATTTATCTATGTTTTGCCTCAAGACTTTTCACCTTCCTTTGTGTCTGTCTGTCTGGTCTCTGGCGTCTCTTTTGTCTTTCTTCTTTGAGCCTAAATTCCTCCTCCTACTTACTCTCTCCACCCAGAAATCCCGTCTATACCTCCTCCCTCACATTCAACTTTTTATTGGACAAATCAGGTGCCTTAGGCAGGCAAGGTAAAACAGCAACACATCTTTACACAATTAAACAAATGCAACACATTTCTGCATAGCTAAACAAATGTAGCACATCTTTGCATAGTCAAACAAATATTCCACAACAAACCCCGATTCTATATATTTGAAAGTATTGTGCAAATCAAAGAGAATGCTTGCTTCTCAAAATTCTCCTCATGAGTCACAATTAAAGGCAGTTTTGATTAAGTAGAATTTTCTTTATCTTTTGAGCAGGTTTTTATACCTTTTCACGTGTATCTCTTTTGTCAAAGCCACAGATATTTTGATAGCTCACCCTTTTCTTGCATATTCGTGATACATTAGTGGGTCATTTGCTGGGAGGGTCAGTGAAAATGACACATCCTTACGACAGTCATTTGCTACGCAGTAACGGCAAATGAAGAAAAATGAAAATCAATCTGACCCATGGTGTTGTATTTAAAACTTAGAGGACAGAAGTTGTATTTGCTGGCAGACTTCAGTTAGGGAAGATGAAGAAGATCAATAAAAAACTTTATGGCAAGGAATAGAAGCTCTGTCAGCAAAGAAGAATGGAAGGAAGCACAGGAGGAAACCTGAAACAAACAGTTTCATAATCTCAATGCAAAGACTTGATTTGAAAAGAGCTCAGTTTCTTCTTTTTTGGAAAGCTGAACTCTGGGCAGTGGGTTTGAGTCACTAAATTAAAGAACTCTGTGGCGGGGGATGGGGTGGGGTGTGTAGCTCAGTGGTTGTCCAGTGTGTGCATGGCAAGGCCACCAAGCAAGCAGCCAGCACGACAAACAAGCCTTTGTTTCTTCAACAGCTGCCAGACCCTGGAATGAGGTCTACTAAAGGATACGGTTTTTTTCAGCTCAAAGATCTTCAAAAAGAGGGTGGGTTTGAAATATGGGTGAAGGGCGGGACAGAGTTCAGCTTAGAGCTCTGGTGTAGTTGCCGAATGTCTATTTTCTTTCGATGTTGTTTTGTAGACAAATGTCCCATAATTGGCCAACTTGAGAATATTCTACATAGTAGGAGTTGTGAACAAAACTTAACTACCCCCCATATCTTCCGTCTGTCTGTCTGAGTCTAGGTTGCAGGCAGTGGCCTCCAGTCCAGAGGCAGTTAGGCCCAGTGATGTAGTCTTGGTACCTGAGGAGTTGTTACTGTGGAGAAATTGTGCCCTGAGGACCACCAGGTCTGCCCTGTAGCTGGTAGCTGACTCCTGTAATTCCAGCACTTGGCAGGCAGAAGTAGGAGGATGCCTGAGAATCTGAGGCCAGCCTGGGCTACAAAGGGAGACCATGCCCCAAGAAAGCTAAAAATTGCAAAACCGAACAATGTTTGTATTGTGATTTGTCTTTACCCCCAGATTTTGCAGCTTCAGGGTCCTGGTTTAGCTGGGATGCCATGTCGGCTTCGTAGCTGAATTGTGTTGCTATTCTAACGTGGAAATCGATTTCCCATGGTTGGCACCAGGTCTCGATCTGTCACCCATTTCTGTGAACCACATTCTGGGTTGGAGCTGTGGCAAATAGCCCTGTGGTGCCATCTTGACGTTCATGTCATAGCTTTGATATGGCATATTGGCCTACTTAAGTGCTTCTGGGGGTCTTGTTTTGTTTCTGAGATAGTATGTTGGTCCAGGCTGACCTGGAACTCAGAGATTCTTCTGCCTCATCCTTCTCAATGTTAGAATTATAGTTGTGAGCACTATGGCGGCTTTCAGCTTTTCAGACTGTTTTTAACCCGCAGAAACGAAAACCATTTATTCTATATAATTGTTTTTTTTTTTTTTAATCATTAGGCACTACCTACAAACAAAACTTAACTTGCTGGGGGCAGTAGGCTCATGTGTGGGTAATCCCCAAACTGAGGCAGTTCAGATAGGACGATCCTAGCGAGTTCCAGACCAGCCTAGGCTACATACACAGTATGTTCAGTGCTGCACTGGGCTAGTGAGTTTGAGGCCAGGATGGGTTACCAAACAGTGAAACCCTGTCTAACCTAACCACTGCCACCCCAGCCCAGATTCAAAACCCAAATAAACCAAACCTATACAAGCCCTGGCTTAGGGTTGGTTACCGTGGAATCTTGTGCCGGGGAGTGGGGGTGGGTGGTGGGTGGTGGGTGGGGTTGGGGGGGGTTCGTAGGTCTTTCTCTGCTCAGCTCCATACAATCCCCAGGCAGATGTGAGCCGCCTTTGTGAGAACAGCTAAATCCTTGACAAGCTGGAATAGAATTTCTAGAAAGTTTCTGAACCAGAGAGTAAGTCTGTGGCTCAAAGGCAAAGGGAATGGGCCCTGTTCCCAACTACAGCATCGCCCTGCCCCCTGCTGTTGGCTACAGCGCCATTATCCTTTTTACTTGGATTGGCAGGGGACTTTAGGAGACTTTTTTTTCTTCTTCTTCTTCTTCTTCTTCTTAATTCCTAGAACTACCTCCTTCGTGGAAAACCAACTCTGTCAAAAGATCAGCAGGTGACGCTTGGTAGTCTTAAACTGAAGGCCTGTCCAGGCCTTGGTAGAGCAGACTATGGGAGAAGAGATGTGGACGCTGTCCCTGTGACTTTGGTGGCAGGGGCGGGCGGGGCAGGGTCTAGTCTACTCGCAATGCTGGCCCCATTGTGGTTGCCCGGAGACTGAGGGGCTCTCGGGACCGCGCCCGGAGGTGCCCATCAGAGTTGGGTAGTGTGGGACCAGCTCGCTTGGAGGAGTCTGCGGCGAGCTCAGGATAGGGCTTTCTGCAGCTGCAGGTAGACAGGTAGAAGAGGAAGTCGTGGGTCCGGTCTGGACACCGAGGAGGTGGGTTGCTCAGAGAGGGACCCTGTGCTTTTGGCTTCTGTAGACTCCAGCCACCTCGGGTAGGGGTGGCTCTCGGGAGGGGCCGTGGGGCGGCGAGCAGCGGAGTCCGATCGTCCCCGGTGGTCGTCATCCCCCTCCACCCCGCTTGACCAGTCCCAGGGTGGAGGCGACAGAACTGCGCCCCGCCCCCGCCCCTGCCGCCCGCCCGTACCCACACCAAGACGCACACGCTCCTTAATCTCCCCCCGCCCCCGGTTGCCCGGGCGACGGCCCAGACGAGCAGGTGATGCATTGACAGCGAGCAGATGGTCCCCCGTGGAGGCGAGCGCGGCCCACAATGCGCCCAGCGCCGCGATCCCACTGCGCCGCCCCCGTCCCGTGGCCCGCGCTGCCCGCATGCTAATAGGGGTCGGGGGAGGGGCCTGGGGCGGGGCCGTGCGCCCTGGGCACGCCCCCAGATCTTGCAGTCACTTCGCCTCATTTTTTTTTTCCTAATGCCGTCTCAAATCCCCCGCATCTGAAGAGTTTTCCTATGTCACACCCAGCACGCTTCATCTCTCTCCAAGTGGATCCAGGCTAACCACCCCCTCTCCACACACACACACACACACACACACACACACACACACACACACACACACACACACACTTTGCCTTTCTCCCATTCTGCAGTTGCAGGAACCACATTTACTCCCGGCTGGCATTTCATGGTTGATCTGGGAAGACTAGAGGAATGGGTTTTTACCACAGCCCAGCCTTGATCCCTGCTTCTAGAACTGGCATTGGAATGGCAAAATGTGTAAAGACACCCGCCCCCATTCCGCCCCCTCCCCGCCCCCACCCCCTATCCCCAATGCTTCATGGCCTTTCAGGCTGCTGCTTTTCCGGGACTTTCCTTTCTGGAAGTTCAGAAATAAATCACTCGCTGGTGACTAGTGTGCTGCCCCTCCCGGGAAGCCCTCCCATTCACACACCCTCCTCCCATTCATTGGACGCACACACCCTCTTCTGTACCCTATTCACCGCTGTGTGGCAAATTGAGGCGATCTTATAGTAAGGGCATGAAAACTGCTAGGCAGCATTCACAATTTTAATACTAACTTCATAGCTGTCACATAAATTCATTGCCAGGCCTACTCTATAATGGCCACGAAATAACTTTAAGAGAAGGGGGGAGATCTGATGACAGCGCCATAGCAATTCTTTGATTTGCAGGTGCTCCCCCCCTCCTCCTTTAAACCATTACTACAGTAACTGCAGATAGCTTTCTCTTTCTTTTTTTTTTAACTGTCACACAGAGAGCTTTAAAAAAAGCCATCCTTCTCCTTTTTATTTTACAGTAGATAAAAAATGCCAAATGCCAATAAAGGCTTTAAAAAAAAGCAGTGGAAAAAAGAAAAAGAAAAAGAGACTAGTGAATAAAGTTGGGACAATACTGGGTCACAGAGCTGTCGAAACTAATGTCATAGTGCGGCTGTTGGGCGGGCGTACAGAAAACTTCTTGTTTCTTGATTTTTATGGAGATTTGGTGTGTGGCATGAAGCACTCCCTGAACAGGTTTAGAACAAGTGGGAAAGAAAGGACTCACAATAAACTCCCCTCCGATGGTCTTTCTGCCCACAAACACCTGTGAGTTACAAAGAGGCATTTTGGAGGACAAAGAGAGGCCAGAGGGCCAGGTTATTGTTGCGAAATGGATACCTCATGTACTCAAGGCTGTACGAGAGGGTTGTTTTATTTTAAAACATGTCCTGGATCCTTGCTATGCAAACTTACAACCAGAAACAAAGCAGTCCTTCCGAGGGCTCTTTAGGACTGTTTCAAATGCATCTTACTCATATGAGCCAGTGTTTTTGCTAAGTTCTTAGACTAGTGGAATTCACTAGAATTCAGAGAGTCGATTTATACAAGCCTCCTAGGTAAGGAAAGTTAGTGATCATTACCCAACACATAGAAATATGTGGTTAGAATGTGTACTTAAAAGACGCATACTATTTGCATTCATTTGAAAAATTATGAGAGTGTGTTTCTTTCCCTGGGAATGGTAATAATTTTATGTTTATCTTCTTTGTCTCTCGCTTTTCTTCTTTCTATTTTTGAGACAAGGTCTCTTTATATAACCCCAGCTGTCCTGGAACTTGCCTTGTAGAACAGGCTGGTCTCTGCCTCTACCTCCTGAGTGATGGAATTAAATGTGTGCACCATCACACCCGGATGCTTATTTTGTCTTGATTTTATGATTTAGTCTTATCACTTGAAGATTTTTCTTTTCTTGTTTCCCATTTTGACTTTTCCTCTGTTCTTTGTCATTTCCTTCCCAATAAGTTAGAATGATTGGAAAGCATATAAAACCATGAGGCAGTAATTTTAAATTGGGTGACATTCCCTTTGCTTAGGATAACTAAAGGAGACCAGAGTCAACTGTAGCCCGAAGCTAGTAAAGAAGCAGGGAAGCAAACAGCCATGTGACCAGCAGCCATGTGACCAGCAGAGGAGCTGCAAGGGTCTCAATTCATTGTCAGAAGGCTGTGAAGCTGGGGCATTGTGTGAGTGGGAAGAAGACAGAGCTGGACGAGATTGGCGTGGGTCAGTTAGGAAGGTCTTTTGTGGGAATAGGGAAGGAAAGGCTTTTATTCTGAAATAAACAGAGAGCTGGGGAGGATTTTGAGGGATTTTCACGATTGGACTTACCATTTTAAGATAATCACTACTGCTATGTGGAGTATTTTCTTAGTTTGCTTTGTGATGCTGCAACAGAATACTGCAGATACGAATGAATGAAGTCTTATTTGGCTTGTAGTTCTGACGGTTGGCTTCAAGAGCCTGGGTGGCACTTGGCATTGTGCTCTCTTATACTGTGGAGGAAGGCAGATGGGCAAGGGTTGGCTAAAACAAGCAAGAGAAAGAGAGAACCCGGGGCCTCAAACCCTTTTATAATGGGCCCTGACCAGTTTATGAGATGAGAGTCCGTACAGGTTGTAGGGCAGAACTAGACAGGCAATGGCTGGTTAGAGACCCGTTGGAAGACCACCTCAGTCACTGAGACAAAGCATAGATGATGTCTTGGAGTAAATTGTGTCAGCAGAAATGGAGAGAATGAATAGCTTCGGATTGTTTTAGAGAAAAGTGTGAGACCTGATGAATGAAAATGTGTGGGTGGGATGAAGAGAAGCAGCAAGGACAAGCTCTTGGGGCTGAACAGCTCAAGGGGCGGGGCACACATGGAGAGGGTAGGTGTGAACAGCTCAAGGGATGGTGCACACATGGAGAGGGTAGGTGTGAACAGCTCAAGGGATGGTGCACACATGGAGAGGGTAGGTGTGAACAGCTCAAGGGGCGGGGCACACATGGAGAGGGTAGGTGTGAACAGCTCAAGGGGTGGTCGGGGCACACATGGAGAGGGTAGGTGTGAACAGCTCAAGGGGCGGTGCACACATGGAGAGGGTAGTTGTGAACAGCTCAAGGGGTGCGGCACATATGGAGAAGGTAGGTGTGAACAGCTCAAGGGGCAGGGCACACATGGAGAGGGTAGGTGTGAACAACTCAAGGGGCGGTGCACACATGGAGAGGGTAGGTGTGAACAGCTCAAGGGATGGTGCACACATGGAGAGGGTAGGTGTGAACAGCTCAAGGGATGGTGCACACATGGAGAGGGTAGGTGTGAACAGCTCAAGGGGCGGTGCACACATGGAGAGGGTAGGTGTGAACAGCTCAAGGGGCGGTACACACATGGAGAGGGTAGGTGTGAACAGCTCAAGGGGCGGGGCACACATGGAGAGGGTAGGAGTGAACAGCTCAAGGGGTGGTCGGGGCACACATGGAGAGGGTAGGTGTGAACAGCTCAAGGGGCGGTGCACACATGGAGAGGGTAGGTGTGAACAGCTCAAGGGGTGCGGCACATATGGAGAGGGTAGGTGTGAACAGCTCAAGGGGTGGTGCACACATGGAGAGGGTAGTTGTGAACAGCTCAAGGGGTGCGGTACATATGGAGAAGGTAGGTGTGAACAGCTCAAGGGGCAGGGCACACATGGAGAGGGTAGGTGTGAACAGCTCAAGGGGCGGTGCACACATGGAGAGGGTAGGTGTGAACAGCTCAAGGGGCGGTGCACACATGGAGAGGGTAGGTGTGAACAGTTCAAGGGGCGGTCGGGGCACACATTGAGAGGGTAGGTGTGAACAGCTCAAGGGGCGGTCGGGGCACACATGGAGAGGGTAGGTGTGAACAGCTCAAGGGGCGGGGCACACATGGAGCAGGTAGGTGTGCACCAGCATGTGGTGTGAAAAATCAAGACTTCAGTTTCAGTGTGTTAAGTTTAAGCTATTGTTGAGGGGCTAAATGGAGATGTTGGGTGTAGGGTCAGACAGCTGACCTCTGGTGTGCGTGGGTGGGAAGGGAGGGTGTGGGGTCATTCTGTAGCTTTCTGGAGACCTGTGATGGGATGTGACATAAAAAGATTAGCGAGGCCACAAGATTTCTCACTTTTCGAATGGGAACCAGAAACGCTGATTCAGTGTGATAGTTAATCCGGAGGAAGACTCGAGAAGTCAGGGGCCAGGAAAGGAACCATCAGAATCACAGTGAACGGATGTCATGAGCACGCAGGAACCTACAGAAGAGCAGAGAGGAAACCCGCCGCGGGAGATAAGAGAGGCTGACAGAGAGACAGGAAGAAGGAGTTTGGGGGCAAGTAGTTGTAATGGCATGAAGTCTTACAGTTCTTTCCACTGTGCTGAATTGTTGAAATTGAGAGACAACATGCAAATGACTGGCAAGTCTATTTAAGAACACACACACACACACATACATACACATACATACACACATTCACATACACTCACACACATATGCATACACACACAAACACACACATACATACACACATTCACACATTCACACACACACACATATGCATACACACACATACACACACAAATACACACATTCACACACACTCACACACATATGCATACACACACACACACAAAACACACATAAATACACACATTCACACATTTACACACATATGCATGCACACACATACATACACACACAAATACATACACACATTCACACATTCACACACACTCACACACATATACACATACACACATACACACTCACACATACATACACACATATACATACACACACATTCACACACATATACACACACTCACACACATATGCATACACACACATACACACACAAATACACACATTCACACACACACATATGCATACACACACACACACACAAAACACACATAAATACACACATTCACACACATATGCATATACACACATACATACACACACAAATACATACACACATTCACACATTCACACACACTCACACACATATACACATACACACATATACACACTCACACATATACATACACACACATTCACACACATATACACACACTCACACATATATACACACTCACACATACATACACACATATACATACACACATACACACATTCACACACATATACACATACTCACACATATACACATACTCACACATACACACTCACACATACATACACACATATACATACATACATACACACATTCACACACACACATATGCACATACTCACACATATACACACACATACATACACACATGCATACACACACACACACACACACACACACACACACACACACACACACACACACGCCCCTGAAGCTGAGAATGTTTTAGCGTCTCCAATAGGCTAAGTATTATCTTGAGAATTCATTAAATAAATTCTTCCTCATTGTGTCTTTCCCTCCTACCCTCTCTGCTCTGTGCAGACCAGGCTAAGCCTGGAATCACGATTCTCCTGCCTCAGTCTCCGGGTGCAGGGATTATCAGGGACACCACCACACCTTCCCTGTCTCCTCAGATACACACACAGGAGCTGGGGTAGGTAGAGGGGTGGTGGCAGGGCGAACTACTGCACCTGCAAAGTCTGGTTGTCATGGAGAAGCAAGTGAGATGCTGGATATGAGCATCTGGGCCCAGGGAAGTAAAAGACGACCCAAGACAACAGCAAAGGCTGGGCGAGACTTTTGCTGTACTTCTCTCTCTTTTTAAAAAACAGATTTACTTTTGTTTTCTCTGTGTGAATGTTTTGCCTGCACGTATGTATGTGCGCCACATATGTGAAGTATCTGCAGAGGCCAGAACAGGGTGTTGGATCCCCTGGAGCTGGAGTTACAGACAGTTGTGAGCTACCATGTGGGTGCTGGGATTTGAACCTGGGTCCTCTAAAAGAGCAGCCAGTGCTCTTAACCATCTCTCTAGGCCTCTTATAACGTTTTTCTTTAAAGGTCCTGGTAAATTTAGCCAAATAGGTGTAGGTTTTCTCCTGTCTAACCAATTATCTGCTGAAAGGAAGAATACACATGCTTTTTAAAAAGATGTATTAATTAGTTAATTTATTTATTCATTCTTTGGGTTTTTTAGAGACAGAGTTTCTCTGTGTAGCTCTGGCTGTTCTGGAACTCACTCTGTAGACCAGGCTGGCGTTGAACTCACAGAGATCCGCCTGGCTCTGCCTCCTGAGTGCTGGGTATTTTTCCTGCATGTATACTTATGTAGCACACATGTTCAGTGTCCATGGAGTCAGAACAGGGCATTGGATCCCCTGGAACTGGAGTTACAGATAGTTGTTTGTGGCCATGTGGGGACAGGGATTTGAACCTGGGTCCTCTGGAAGAGCAGCTGTGTTATAACTGCTGAACCATCTCTACAGCCCTGGTATTTGTTTCAATATTTCCTCTGGGGAGCACAGCTGCTTCCAAGGAAATAGAATGCAGGAACTAATTTTCTCTTGCTCAAGTGTGTAAAAGAGCTCTCAAGTGTAAGAAATCACTGTGTAAACTTTCATGGCAATACAATCAAGAACCTCAACAAAGTATCGTATTAATGGGAAAGATAATTAGAATTAACTTAAGGAGAGATGGAAGCCCTGGATAGAGCTACAGTAATGGCAGAGATGAAGAAAAATGCCTTGGGATAATTAGCTCCAAAAAGGGCTTTGAGTCTTGATCATCTTACACATACATGTGTTTTTTGGGGCCGAGGATGTAGTAGCTCAGTGGTAGAGCACTTGCCTAGCATCCATGAGTACTTGATCCACAGTGCTGCAAAAACAGAAAACGAAAAGTGAATTCTTTTCATGTATTAAGTAAACATAAGTTAGTCATAGAAGTTATGGAATGTAAGAGCTGATGAATTTTTCCCAATTCATGACATTTTAGCTAGAAAAAGAATAATAAAACAAAGCCAACAAGCTATTTTACTCATACGTATGTATGTTACTGCTTTGAAAACTTCATTACCACATTAAATTTGTGAGTGTACACAGGATATATTAAGAGGGTATTGTTTAATGATAGTTTAGGGATTCTAGAAATACATCACAGTAGGATAAATAAGTAGATCATCCAAAAAATCCTATTAAATACTAACCATGAGATGTGTCCTAGTTAATTTTGTTAACTTGACACAAGTTAAGAGTTATCTGAGAAGGGGACCACAATCTTACGGAAAAAATGCCTCCATGAGATTGGGGCTTAACAATTGATATTGGGGAACCCAGTCCATGTGGCCACACTACCCCTGGGCAAGTGGTCCTGGGGAGTATAAGGAAGCAGACTGAGCATGCCCTGGGAGAAAGCAGTGTGCCTCGGTGGCCTTTGCTTAGGTTTCTTCCTCCAGGTTCCTGCCCTGACTTTCCTCAGTGATGACGTGATTTGAGGGTTGTAAGCCGAAACAGACCCTTGCCTCTCCAAGTTGCTTTTGGTCAGTGTTTTACACAGCAATAGAAACCCCAACTAAGACACAAATGTACAATAGTTCTTCTTTTAAATTTTATTTCAAGCATGTGTGTTTTGCTTACATGCAGTTCATGTACTATGTGCATGCAGTGCCCATAGAGGCCAGAAGAGGGCGTCGGATACTCTGGAACTAGAATTACAGACGGCTTTAGTCACCAAGTGGGTGGGAACTGGAAACTGAACCCTGGTCAACTGCAAGAGGAGCACTAACCACTGAGCATCTCTCCACTACACAATAGTTACTCTTTTTTAAAACTTAGTTTTGTTTTTTTGAGACAGGGTTTCTCTGTGTGGTCCTGGCTGTCCTGGAACTCACTCTGTAGACCAGGCTGGCCTTGAACTCACAGAGATCTACCTGCCTCTGTCTCCAGGCCTGTGACACCATACCCACTTTAAAAAAAACCTTTTATTATTTACTTGTTAATTTATCATTACAATAGTTATTCTTTATAAAAGTTTAAAATATATTTTAAAGTGTATTCTTTGGCAGTTTTACACATGGACAGAACACATTTTTAGTCACTCTTGTCCCTGTTATCCTCTCTTACCATCCGCCACTGAGAAAATAAAGTGTCCGTTTTATTGAGATTCATCGTCATAGTTAACAACAACAAAAAGTGGGGGATGCATGAACGAGAGTGACAAAATAAGACAGTGTCAGTATTGGTTGGGACCGTTCTGGAAATTGTAAGCAACTCAATCAGACACGAACAGACGTAAGAGGTAGAGCCAGTTGAAATGAACAAGGTCACTAATGGCCAATAACACTTCTCATTAATAAAATCTGGGAAAAACATACAAGAGACATAGGAAAACATGAGACATAGAAATGTTAACATTCAATAAAAAAAAATAATAATAATAAAACTAGTAGATTTCCAGGAAAATGCACCCTACAGAAATGCAGCCCGAGATGAATAGACTTTAGGAATATGTCTTTGGACATATTTGGCGTCTATCCTTCCCTGAATTCGAAAGCAGGGAGACTGGGCCTTTTGTTCTCAGGAGAAACACAAAGCTGTAGAAGATTAAAGTATATACACCATACCATTGGCACCTATTCAGGATTTCAGTGGGTAACTCCTAAGAGTTCTAAAAAGACTGATTCTGTGATTACACACCTATTAGAAGTTATGGCCATCATGGGAATACCTGTACAAATTAAGACAGACAATGCCCCAGCATATGTCTCCAATAAAATGAGATAATTCTTTGCTTATTACAATATAAAGCATGTTACAGGTATACCACACAATCCCACAGACCAAGCAGTCATAGAAAGGTCCAATCAAACTTTAAAGGATATGCTAAATAAACAGCAACAGGTAACAATAACTCCTAAAAATAGATTACATAATGTTTTATTAACCTTGAATTTTCTCAATGCTGATGAGAAAGGAACAAGAGCTGCGGAGAGACATTGGACGACAGACAAAACTCCTGAGCTAAACCAACCGGTTTATTTCAAGGATGTGCTGACCTCAGAATGGAAACCTGGATATGTTCTACGTTGGGGAAGGGGTTTTGCCTTTGTTTCTGCAGGAGAAGAGAAGCTATGGATACCAACAAAATTAATAAAAATTCGATTCAAACAGGAAAAACCCCTTGATGAGGAGAAGTAAAAGATCATCCACCAATGTGACATCTCTACAAGTTGTAAGAAAAATTTAACAATCAAAGGTTGGGGTAGGGTTCTGTTTTTGTCTTTCCAGGATAATGGAAATACCCATCTTCCAGAAATCATAAAGCCTTGGATATCCGGATGGATATCTTTACAACAAAAAGAAAAAAATCTCTTGGTACCAATCTACACAGGGTAAAATCTCACTGTCTAACATCTATACCTCTATCAATCTAAAAAAGTTGTTGTTCCAATTAAATTATAAACCAAGCTGGCTTTGGAGATGGAATTGGCTCACTCCTTCTCTAAACCCAAGCATATTGCTAAAAAAAAAAAAAAAAAGTTGAGAGATTCTTCAGTCCCATATCAGAAGAGCCCTCTGGTGTGGGACAAAAGAAAACCAATAAAAAGGGACCATTGTCTTCAGATTCTAATTCTCTCCATGCTTACTCTTGATTTCTCGGAATCCTTTCTTACATGTCGTGTCATCTTTAAATCCAACTTTCCATTTTGATAAAAAAATAAGTTTTTCCAATAGCAATCTCTGAAGTCTCCAAAAGAAATGTGGGGCCCCAAAAACAACAACTCTACCCAATCCAGAATGATGCCATGGTAATCATCATCATACTACACTTCTTGCCAGAATTTCAGACAATCTTACTCTGAGCCTTACTGAGGAATCTACAGTTAGTCTAACTGAGATTTAACTATCTGAGCTTTCTCACAGTACCCAAGAGAGATACCATCACCCCCTAAACAACAGGAAACAATTCTAAGAAAATGACGCCCCTTCTCCCTAAGGTTTCATATTTCTCAGGGTTATGGATGATGGTTATAGGGTTGGGGGTGGAAGCCATTCCAGCTTTGATCTGGAAGTTCCAAGCCCCAATGAGGCTTCGGTAACTGTCATGCCTACAAGGCGGGGCCAAGAGAGGACCCTGAAGACCCGAGATCTGGATGCGCCGGCTCTCTTGGTTCCTGGACCCTAGACACTGGAGGTAGACCGAGCAGAGTTCTCCAGAGAACACTGCAGGATTGCACTACACCTTTCCCAGACCCTGTAAACTATCCCTTCACTTGTAAGTTACCCCACAAAATAAACCTCCCTTTTAACTACTTGGAGTGGCCTTAATAATTTCACCAATAGAACACCTCTTCCTGTTGCTGTTAGCGTTAGAGCTTTAAGTTAGCATACAAAGTAGTGGGTTTTATGGTTAAGGTGCTTTCCAGGCAGGCAGTGGTGGCACACACCTTTAATCCCAGCACTTGGGAGGCAGATGCAGGTGGATCTCTGTGAGTTCGAGGTCAACCTGGTCTACAGAGTGAGTTGTAGTCCAGCCAAGACTATATAGCAAGACTATGTCTCCCACACAAAACAAAATAAAGCAAAACACCCAAAGAAAAACCAAACAACAATGAGAATAAGGTGTTTTTATCAGTAGTTACTCAAGTATGTAAGAGACAAGTAATTTTAACCATACACAGATTCCTATGAGCGGTTTGGAAAAGTGACCATCCTAAGTCCTTTTATGGGACTAAATAACCGTGATGGAAGTGTGAAGGTATAAAGGTGAGGGTGGGATGGATTTTACTTATGATCACTGAAGAAAAAATAGAATTAATATTGTGACAGTAATGCACCCCAGCACTGAACAGAAACATGCTATGACCGTGGATGCTTGACTGGCTTACTGTTGGGAATTTTATCAGCATGAAATTGCATTAACAGGTTAACAATGAAAACATGGTCATCCTAAAACATGCAGAGAACACTGAGCAGAATTCACCATCTGCTCCTCTTTAAACATAAAAAACAAGAATCTTTATAAACTGAGAATGGAAGGGGGTCTGCTCAACCTTGTAAAGACATCTACAAAAGACTTAGAAAAATATGGCACACTCTGTACCTGAGCATGGAAATATGTCAATTCTTTTAAATATCAGAAGCAATAATGAATATCCAACTCGTGGAAAGGCTGAATGTTTGGGGGGCTCCATCTCTTGAGTGTGCGCATCCATGGATCTTTCAGCATTGTCTCATGTTATTTTTTGTACCCCATTCTTTTTTTCCTACTTAGTGAACCCTTTATAGCCACTTTCATATTTTGCTTTCTGTAATAGAAATATCTTAAGATTCAAGTCTCAGAACTACAAATATAAAATTATTTAGCATAAGAGTCGAAAGCACAGGAAACTACTGGAGACATAGACAGGGCTTGTCCTTCTGAGTCATTTTAATGGATCAGAGTGTTCCCAATTTCCTTAGGCCTCTCCTCTCTACCTAGAGCACTTTGCAAATCCCAGAATGTTCCAGAACCCACAGCGAGGGCTACACAAATGTGGACTTACTATATTGCCTTCATAGTAAGTCTGTTTTGGGGGGAAAACAGCCATGTACACCACCACAGCTTCACGCTAGTGCAGCAAGAAAAAACTTAGGGCTTAGATATTTGAAAGGAAGAGGGAAGAAGAGCTGTCAATATTAGCAAGATACACAACCATTCACGTTAAAGGTCTCCGGTAATCTACAAACACATATTTCATCATTAATGCGAGGGTATTAGTCAGCTTGCAGTTTAAGATTCTCCCCAAAGTTTAAAAGAGAGAGTTTAATCTGGAGCCAAATATGAGTAACCACGGTCTGGGAACATAGCTGTAGATTACTTCAAATTTCATGCTTCAATGAGGTGTACTAGTACTAGTTTATAGTACAGAATAAAGAAAGGCATGAACCAAGATGAGATACTTTCCAAACACATTGGTGAGAACATCAAAGCAGGGTAATTTCTGCTATAGGGTGCAGTTGCTGTCTGAAGATATTCTCAGCCCTTGGGTTGTGGACCCCTTCAGTCTACAAGCACATTTCAAAGGGTTTACCTAAAGGTCCTGAGGATGTTTGGCCACACAATTGCATTTTTATACCCTGGAAGTGATTTGAAAAATACACACACCTGTAGCTCCGGTATTGGGGATTCTGAGTTGGAGGCCAATCTGGGCTACATAGCCATACCCTTTGTCAAAACCAAAACCAAAACCAAAAAACCATCCCAATGCAAAAATAAAACAAAATCAACAAACTGAAACAAACCTAAGCATTTCCTAGAACAGGGAATCTATGTCTTAAAAACAGATAATCTTACATTTTGGAAAAGTATAAAGTGTTATCGGAATTCATTGTCAAGAAATAATGTTTTAGGTAGGATGATGCAGTGTCTTAGTAGATCACTACATCATTGTAACTGGCTCTTTCTCCATCTGTTGTCACAGGAGACTGAACTCACAGACGGATGCCTAAGGTGACTGGTATGGAGGAATGGGAGAAGCATTCTAACTAGATACTAGACTCTGCAACAGGATGCAGGTAGTGTGTGAAAGGAACTTTTTATTTATTTATTTTTGATCACTGAGTGGGATTGCTCCAGGTCAGCCATTCATTTTGATTCTTGAAGCAACGGCTTTGGTCTCACAGTTCGAAACATCCTGTTAGTTTGTATTCGCCTGTCTGCAGTGATGTGTGAAATATGCAGATGAGAGCGTAATTGCGCATGCCTTCAGAACACGCAATTTTTTTTCCCACTCGAACAAAACATTATACTTCTGTTAAGCACCTGGAGGTTCAGGCCCCACTTTCTTTGACATTGTTGTATGTATTTGCTAAGGTGACACGTGCCATACAGGCGGGGTCAAAGGGGTTAAAGCTACCGCTGGGGTCCCTGAGTTGGACAAGCTCATGTTTTGAACAGAAAGCCCCCCCCAAAAAAATCTACTGCCACGTAAAGAAAGTGAGAACTCTGAGATGGCACCACCCATCTTCTCTGGACCACTCTTTGCAAACCGAGTGGCTTAAACGCTTTTTAGCCCCGAAGGTCCGAAGTCTAACACACCTTTGGGGTTAAAACTTTGGATGTTGACAGTTCTCTGGTACTACCTGAAGACTTTCCATTTCTTTATCATTTCCAGCTTCTTGACCCTACCTGGGCTTGGCCCCTGCTGCTTCTCCTCCTCATGAGAGCCAGCTACCACATTTTGAGTCCCCCTCAAATGGCCTTTCTCTAGCCTCTCTACCTCACCCTTCCACTGTTAAGGACCCTTGAGCTCTCCTAGGCTAATCCTACTTCACAGTCCTTAACTAATTACAGTTGCGAAGTTCCGTGGTACAGGAAGGTACCATGTTCAGACAACAGGTGTGAGGGCACAGGCACCTGGAGGGAAACTGGCCATTGGGCATCACTTCCCACTTCCTCTGCTTGCTCTGCTCTGGCCATTTTCCCACACGCTAGCCTCTGTGCTCACTTGCTCTCCATGGTGTGGAATTGTTGCTAGAGTTTTTCTGCCTGGCCCACAGTCAGGACAAATCTCTATCACCTGCCAGTCCCACAGCCGCTCAAACCCGACCAAGTAAACACAGAGACTTATATTGGTTACAAACTGTATGGCCGTGGCAGGCTTCTTGTTAACTGTTCTTACAGCTTAAGTTAATCCACTTCCATTAATCTATACCTTGCCATGTGGCTCGTGGCTTACCGGCATCTTCACATGCTGTTTGTCATCATGGCGGCTGGCAGTGTCTCTCTGACTCAGCCTTCCACTTCCCAGCTTTATTCTCCTCCTTGTCCTGCCTACACTTCCTGCCTGGCCAATGGCCAATCAGTGTTTTATTTATTGACCAATCAGCAACACATTTGCCATACAGAACATCCCACAGCATGGAATGACTTACACTCTTAGTTCATATCTCTGCTCAGAGCATCTTCAAGGAACCATGTGTCTAAAGCTTGCCCTGTGCTCTCTAACCTCATACTGTTCCTCATTTTTTTTTTTCATAGAACTTCTCTCTTCTGTTGGGGTCTCCTGCTGAAGGTGAGAAGTTGGCCAAATTTGCTTCCTTGGGCCACCCAGAAACTAGCCAAGCTCCTAACACACAGCATGAACATATCAATGTAATTTGCCTCTTCATGTTCTGTGTTCTTCAGTAAACTGGACCCTAACCAAGTATTTTATGAAGATGAGCTGGTTGGTCTTTGAAAATGTATGCCAGAGAATGCCGTGTGTAAAACAGCACATTACCTTTCTGCCCTTTAAAAGCCAGGGCACACACACATTCTGTGGTCAGTAGCTTCTCGGAGACAGCTCCAGCTATGGGGGAATGGGCTTTTCTTCTTTAACTGTGTCAGCACTGGCCTCTGCTGTTTAGGGAACATGAGCCGAGCTGGTATAAAGTGTTTGTGGCGAGAACTACCACCATGGTTGTAGCAAGGCGAGGGTCAGCTGTCCCAAGACAACAGTAGTAGTTGTAGTCCAGGCTTGTAGTAATCATCTGCCTACTTATACAAGCCAAAGCTTGCTGGAAGATCAAGTTTTATGAGGAATTCGTTTATTTTAAAGACTGAAATGTCTGTTTTAACTTGTGAAGTAAGTTTTGAAGATTATGCTATGTTTCCCAGTGTCCCTTCTACTAAGAGAATAGAATAGTTTCAGTCAACAAAAAATATACTTAGGCTGGGCCCGTGGTGGCACATGCTTTTGATCCCAGCACTCGGGAGGCAGAGCCAGGTGGATCTCTGTGAGTTCGAGGCCAGCCTGGGCTACAGAGTGAGATCCAGAACAGGCTCCAAAACTACACAGAGAAACCCTGTCTCGAAAAACTATATATATAAAGAGATTATGCTACTCCAGTGGCCAGATTTAAGCTGACACTAGTTGATGATGAACTCACATGTACTATCAGGTGTCCTTTCATAAATAGCCCTGTTACTTGATGTTTTTGAGAACAGAGATCGATAATAATCAGGACAAAAGTAAGGACCATCATTTTTCCTGCCACTTACAGAATATTTACTGTGTGTCAGTTGTTAAATCCTTCATGTACACAAACATACACATATATCATTATTTTTTCTATGTAATCTTTTCATCCCTTGAAGTCATGGAGCATTTGTTGTTTTGTCTACCCATCAAGAACATTCCTTTCACCCAAAGCTTATTTTAGGAAACTCTTCCTCTGCTCCCACTAGTTTTGGAGATACCGCCCAATTATGGTCTCTTAGTATCTTGGCTGTCAAGGTGAACATATGATCTAGACATAGGTGAACAGACATATCTCAGAGCAGTTCTTTACACGTCAGGAATCAAATCGCTACTGAATAGCCACACGGGGGGGAATTTCCCTAGTACCTACTCAGCCTGATTCCAACCATATTTCTGTCACTTGGCTGTGCCGTGTTCTGACATCCCATAGCTGCGATCAATCACCCACTCTTCCCGCTCAGATGGCGTCTTGAAAACACAGCGGGGAAATGCACACACTGCATTTTTTATCAGGGTGCGGCCCAGACAGTTGTTGCTTTCATTTGTCTTTTGGTCGATTAATATTTTGGTCTTGTGTCACCAGGGTTAGAATGTCAGATGGGCTCCATCTTTTGTGCTAATTCTAGCAGAATATAGGTGGTGGTTTGGAACTCTGTGTTGAGACGGCATTCGTTACTTTTCATCTCGCTGTGACCAAATGCTAGAAAAGGAGCAATTTCTGGGAGCAAGGCTCGGTTTGGGCTTATCGTTGGAGAAGATGCAATCCAACATGACAGAGAAGGGCTCGAGAGCAGTACTGTGTGGCAAGTTGGTCACATTGCGTTTGCAGTTAGGAAGCACAGACTGGACAGGAGGTGGGTCTGGCTTAGGGTCCGCTCCAGGGAGGCTTCAGCTCCTAAAGGTTGCTCAACCTTCCAGAACAGCACCACCAGGTGGAAATCAGGTGCACAAACACATGAGCACCCAGGGGATCGTTCACTTTCAGCTGAAGACTTGTCCTGGGCTAGTGGGAAAGTGAAGCGAAGAAATGAGTTGTTCAAATATTTGACTGCATTTGGATTACATTTTGGACATAGGAAATTATATGATTTTTTTCTTTTTTTCAGAGTGTGCTGAACCAAGGACTTCTAACTTGTTTGGCTCAAAGAATATTTCTGTTGTGATGAGCTCATCTGTGTGTCAAACTAAACTCTTAAATAAGCCTGCTCACTGCAGGGCATTGGCATCTTCTAACACCTCCCTTCTCTACATCGTGTCCAGACAGTCTTACCCTCTAACGATAGGGACAGTGACATGATCTGAATTTAGATTCCGAACTGAATCATTGGTGGGGGGGGGTCACTCTTTTCAGAGAGAGGGGTGTTAAAGCAGAGTCACCCTGAGAAAACTGTCATGCCCCGGCATTGTTGAGCCTGTCTGAGCAATTGCATTAGGGCTCCCATTTCGTGGGTTGGGGGTTCCATTTCTTCATCTTCGGCCTAAGTTACTTAGCAATGACCAACTTAACTATGCGCCCACCATATTGTTTTGCGTGTTTGACTAGAACATTGACAGATTAATAGGAAGGGTAAATAGCAACAGTGGACGGGCCCAGTGTGGGGCAGCAGGATTGACTGCGCTGGACTTCGCTGTGTTTGCTCAGAGGAAGCCGAAGCAAAAGCCTGCTGGGAGGAGGTGACTCGGGTCATGGGCATTTGTTTCTCATCTCTATAGAAAACAATTGTCTCCTCAATGGAAGATGGCTTTTTCTGAATCTACATGGCTTCACTGACAAGGAGGAGATATTCGCCATTCCAGGGTGTTGGCTGAATCACACACAAATGAAAAGGCCACACAAAAATCCAAATGTACTAAATTCCTCAGAGAATCCTTTGATTTAGGTTGAAGGAGAGAAACCTGAGAAAGTTTATCAACTATTCAGTGCCTCCATCCAATATTTGATGTTCAGAATTTTATGAGGTTTCGGAATGATCCAGCCATCATCCCTTCTCCTGGTCCATGAAGGCAGAGCCCTGGACGTCAAGCTCTGTTGAATTTGCAAGCCTTGGTTTAGGGGAAATCTATTTTGACTCAGATTTGTTCTTTGAACTTAGGTGGCTGAGGTGTCTTGAAATAAAGGGAAAGATCTCCTTTGGGTAAAACTGAACTGGCTTCAATCAAAGGCAAAACTGGGTTTCCGGGGGACAATTCTTTGAGCACAGGTGATTTTACATTTTAGCACTAACCTAGTTCTTTACGTTACAGCTCATTTCTAATAAAAGACTCCAAGAGCTTCCACACAGAGTTTGACTAGTCATTCTTGGTCTGTCTTTCCCTGCCCCATTGTGTACGTGTGCACATACATTTGTGTGCATAGATATATAAATCTTTCTTTTAATCTCCTGGGCAGTCTTCTTGAGATGGCAGGCAGGCTGGGAATGGGGCGACATTTGCAGCCTCTCCCTCTGGCTGTCACTCTGCTTTGTTGTGTCTGAACAGATGTTGCTTTCTGACGTCTGCTTCTGCTCCGTTTCTCTCTCCACTGTTGGACTCACGGTTTCCTTCCTTCTCTTCTTAGCGCTCAAGGGTCAGGAGCTGCATGGTAGCATTGTTTATAGCGGTGTCGGAAAACATTTCAGCACCCATAAGCTTCTCAAACGGAAAAACCATCAGGAACTGTCTGTTTCTTTACCTGTCCAACAGCGCTGTAGCATTTGTACCAACACGTGCAGTGCGAATCCGTACTTCAGCGAAGGCGTAGACTGGTTTTCTGCCGCCTCATAATGTCTGGCCTGAGCCTGATGGAGGCGCCCTCACTCATGCCTGGCGTCTGAGTTGGGTTGATTCAAAGCTTCTCTTCATTTGAAACTATCACTCAGTGCCTCTACCCACAGCCTGTTCTTTTGGTGCAGACTTCTCCATAGTTTGGTGATATCAAGGCAGACAGCTCTCTTAGGTGGTGGCTGATGATTCCAAGAATAGTTCTTCCCAGAGGACAAGGAGGAAGCACTGTTGCCTTTAATCACTTAGCACAGAGTTAGAGCACATCACTTTAAAACTCTATCTGCTGAGGCAATCAGAAGCCCACCCAGCTTCAAGCGAAGAGATCTTTCGGTTCATTGTGAAGAAGAATTTGGGTACGTGTTCTACAATTCCAATAGGGTTGAGAGAGAAGAGACTGGAATGTGCTGGGTGACATCATAGGAAGTACTTGAGCATGATCTCCTGCAGATACCTGCCATCAGCAAGACACTGACCCCCAGAAGTAACCTGCCCTTGATCTTAGGTAACCTTTTAGTACAGCTTCCCACCAGACCAAGCTTCCTAATGCCACTTTGCTTTAATTTATTCTGAAACAAGTTCACCTTTCATGTTTCTTCCCCTCCAAAAGGTAAGATCAGAGACCTGCTGGGTGGTAGGAGCACCCTGCAGGGGACGTGTGGAGATTCCGAAACGTCAGTGAGGCAAAACTTACCAAATGCCAGTTAAAATGTTCTTCCACCTATCTGTTCGGTACACATCTTAGAGCAGCCTTTGATCCTACTGAAAACCTCGAGGACCCTGGAGTGAGTGAGAAACAGAAGACTCAGGTTTTAGTTCATCCCCGAAGAGAGGCCGAGGCAGAGAATTTCTCCCTTGGCCTATCACGTTCTCTTTGAAGTCACTTACATTTTCCGATGACCCATTTTACCGCTGTGCAAATGGGCTAAATATATCAACTTTATGAGCAAACCAGGCTATTTATAATGCATTTTGTAGTTATAAACAAAAACAAGTGACTTTAGATATGTAATTGTGCTTGCCAATTACCTCAGGTTGAACTTTCTGTGTTGGTGGGAGTGTGTAATAAATATGAAGCCATCCCACGCTGCCGTGGAGCACACTGATTTCGGGGCCCTCCTGAGCAGCTGTTTGCCTTGCCTTTGTGCATTAGATATATTGATGAACTTGTGCATCTGTTGATCCCACTTCCAGAATCCATCCTACGCACATTATTAGACCATGAGGTCGAGGGTTCTGTCCAAGGATCTTTATGACAGTGCTGTTTATAGTTACTCAATAACGGGAGCCCCCTGACTTTCCAATACCAGAACATTCTATAACCTACAGGTTATGGACAACAAGAAGTAAGGCTTTCTGAAGACATGCTTGTATAGGCTTTGCGTAAATTAATTTAAATAAGAATCAAAGTCTACCTAAAGGAAGAATAAGCAGGGACTGATGGAAGAGAGCGCTATAGAATTATTAGTGATCTTGTACCCTTCTGGGGTGTCTTTTTTATTAAAAATACTTATTTTATTTTTTAATGGGTGTATGTGTGTGTGATCTGTGTGTATATGTGTATATGTGTGTCTGTGTGTATGTTCGTGTGTATATGTGCATATGTCTGTATGTGTGTCTGTCTGTGTGTCTGTGTGTATGTGTGCATGTGTCTGTATGTGTGTATGTCTGTGTGTATGTGTGCATGTGTCTCTGTGTGTGTGTCTGTGTATGTGTGCATGTGTCTGTGTGTGTGTGTAATGTGTGCATGTGTCTCTCTGTGTGTGTCTGTGTATGTGTGTGTATGTGTGTGTCTGTGTCTGTATGTGTGTCTGTGTGTGTGTCTGTGTATGTGTGCATGTGTCTGTATGTGTGTCTGTGTATGTGTGTGTATGTGTGCATGTTTCTGTATGTGTGTCTGTGTGTATGTCGGTATGTGTGCGTATGTCTGTATGTGTGTGTGTCTGTGTGTATGTTGTGTGTATGTGTGCATGTGTCTGTATGTGTGTATGTCTCTGTGTGTCTGTGTGTATGTCTGTGTGTATGTCTATGTGTGGTCTGGGCATGTGTGTCTGTGTGTGGTCTCTGTGTGTGTGTGTCTGCATGGCTGTGTGTGTGCACGTGCACACACGTTTCAGGTGCCCATGGAGGCAGGAAGAGGTCACTGGACCCCGCTGGAGTTCTGAGGTCTTCTGAAGAGCAGTGTGCTCTTGTAATCACTGAGCCCATCTTTCTGTTCTTTCAAACTCTAAATGTGTATTAATGTGTATTCTCGCTGCAGTCAGGAAAGAAAAGGAATGGTGTGTGCGGCTGTCTGGCATAACATTTTTTTCCTTGTAAATACCTTGTACAAAAGGCGGCTCAGTAGGTTAATGCTTTCCCTTATCCACTCACCTGAACACCAGTGGCTGCTGTCCAGCGGTGCCTCCTCCCTCCCCTCTCCCCATCTCGCTGATTCCCACGGGGTGGGGGGTGGGGATTCCCATGCTAAGGACTGGCTTTGCCATGGAGGAGGACGGATGGGCTGAGAAGGGCAAAGGCAGCCAGAATCTCCGTCTGATCTTTGGGCTGCTGTGGGAACCTGTAGCCACAGGACAGCCCCAGGCCTCCATGTGGCCTCCTGCTTAAAGACCTCAAGCCCTCAGGCTATTAACTGGATTTTACCTGAGTAAATCGCCCTGCATTTTGAGAACGTTAATAAATTACCGGGAAAATTCTGTCATCCCGAACACAAACATCTTTCAAAGGCTTACTCACTTCACTGGGCTTTGGTCTCAACTCAAGATTTACCCGTTAGCGTTAACAAAAGCATAAACTGAATTTGGAACCGCAAGGTAATTTGCCCTTAGGGTGGTTGATCTGGCCCCCCCCCTTACTCCCCAGAGAGTTAGTCCTGTGTCCAAACCGGTCCAAAATTCCCCAAAAGACAATCAGGTTTGTGTGGGCCGAAGAGGGAGAGCATTCCAGTGTAGCTCCCTCCTCTTGAACCTGAAGAATGGAAGAGATTGCCCTTTCGTTAAGAGGAAGATAAATTTGGATTTAAAATAGGGAGAACTTGTTACCTTTAAAGCTCTGATCCAGGGAGGGACTGCAGGCTACACATTGTAGATAATTTGCATTACGAAGTTTCCTCATTCAATTACCATCCTGTCTATGGATATAATAAGCACATGCCTTAATGCTTGCAAATCTGGACAATAAATAGCTTTTTAAAACTTACGGGTATGAAAATGGTACAGTTGACTCCTCTGAAAACATTAGCTTTTTGTATTGTCTGTTTATTATGTCTAATTATTGAAGGAAGGCTCAATAAAGCCAGGAAGTAATGAACTTTATTAAATAATCACAGTATTCAGCATAACTGTTTAGTACACCGAACGCTGTATTGAGGTTCCTTCTCCTAATGCAATCATACTCACTAATAAGGTACTTTTCAAGGCATCTGCTATGAAACTTGACTTCTTTTGTCTTGGTTAAACTTGGTGTTGGTATAGATTATTTATATCTTGAAACAGATGCACCTGCTCAGAAGTCAGGCAGCATCCCCGGTAGAAAAACAAAAGAACATAGCTTTCTTGGAGTCTTTTCTAATGTGTCGATGATATCAGAGTTAAGCGGACTCCTTCTGAGGGGTCCCAGGTTCTGGTTCCAGAACACGGAATTGGACAGGGATTCCTTGCATAGCATCTCGATGCTTGCACAGCAGGGACTTTCCAGACATGCTCCATCTGCACAGGTGGTGGATCTTCGTGCATCGCGTGTCTCCTTGCATCCTGAACACCCATCCAGAGCTGTGCATTTTACTATTATAAGGAGCCCCAGGTTACCTGCAGGCACTCTGAGGACCTCTGAGCCTGAACCAGTGGCTCTGTGGCTCCAGACAGTTCTAGTTGGCCTCAGCAGGTGTAGCGGCTTCCCTTCTTTGCCAACCATCTTTTCTGTACGCTAATTCTGTAGCCTCTGGATGGGACCTTCTGCGTCTCACTTTACATTATTCTTCTGAGTCACATATAGCAGAGTGCCCGAGCTGAGGGCTAAATATTTATCCACAGAGAAAGAGAAAAATCTCTGCCAAAAGATATGAAGCAAATCCAAACCCGGATCTGCCAAAAGCTGCAGGGTATTGGCTTTTAGTGATAGGCTAGGCAGCTGCTAACTAGGAGATCCTGAATTCAGCATGACGTTCTGTGTCACTAAAAAGCGAATATTTTGGCAGTGGGCACCGTGAGCTTGTTGAGGCTTAGAGCTTCAAATCTCCTAGTCCAGTATGGAGGAGCATTGAGCCCAAGGTCCAGGGGCAATCGAGAGTGTTAGGAGAGACGTAGAAGAGAATCCCTGTGTGTAATGGACTTTGTGGGACAAAGAGTGAACCCGAAAGTGAACTAGCACCCAAAAGTGCTAAAGAAGAAGCAGGGTCCCTGATAGAAATGCAAAACCTTTTGTCTTAGCTCCAAAATATCGACAAGGGATATGTCAATGGGCCCAGCAACTTATTTGATGTGTTGTGTTTATTTGTTTTTAAATTTATTTGAATTTGTGTTTAAGTGTATTCATGTGATATGTTTCTATGTGTGAACACATTCATGCAGGGACACATGCATGTGAGTGCCTATGTGTGGAGGCCAGAGGTCAACCTCGAGTGTCCCTTTCTCAGTTGGACTTTACCTTATATTTTGAGACAGGTTCTCTCACGGAACCTAGAACTCACAGATTTGGGCAGGCCAGGCTGGCCAGCAAGCCCCAGGCATCTGTCCATTTCTACTTCGCTGGTGCTGGGATACCGCCACACCTTTAACACATTTATGTAGCTAGAGTTTTCCTGCCTGGCCCACAGTCAGGACAAATCTCTGACATCCGCCAGTCCCACAGCCATTCAGACCCAACCAAATAAACACAGAGACTTATATTGGTTACAAACTGTATGGCTGTGGCAGGCTTCTTGTTAACTGTTCTTACAGCTTAAATTAATCCATTTCTATTAATCTATACCTTGCCACGTGGCTTGTGGCTTACTGGTACTTTACATCTTCCTTGTCCTGATGGCGGCTGGCAGTGTCTCTCTGACTCAGCCTTCCACTTCCCAGTTTTATTCTCCTCCTTGTCCCACCTATACTTCCTGCCTGGCCACGGGCCAATCAGTGATTTATTTATTGACCAATCAGCAACACATTTGACATACAGACCATCCCACAGCACATTTATTTATTTGTTATTTGGGTATCAGTAATTTGAACTCCTATGTTCACGCTTACACAGCAAACACTTGGCCGCCTCGCCATCTCCTCAGCCCTGCAGCTTAGGTTTTAATAAACCCATTGGCCGTGCATTGCTATGTAGTGCATTATGTTCAAACTCGGCCTCGGAGGACAGCAATTATTATCATACAGTTTTTGAGGGGCTAGCACTGGTATCTCCAAAGCAGGTGAGTCGAAAGGCTCCTCTTCCAGGCTTGGGGTCCTGCACAGGGCTGCTCACTTATTTCACTGTAAAAGAGAGACACTACTTATAGTTTATACTTCAAGGGGAGGCAACACAGGGGCCATATTGTGGGTGGATTCTAGAAGGGGGTCCTCAGGAAGGATCTTAGAGGCTGATCACTGCCAAGCCCTCAGGACACACTCATGCCTGCTAAAAGGCTTTTTGTTTGTCTCATATATCCCTTGGAATTTACCAGTAGCTAAGGCTGGCCTTGAACTCCTGATCTCCCTGCGTTTGCCCCTAGGGCTGGTATCTGAGGCCTGTGCTACCATACCTTGCCTGCTAATGTTTTAGATCTGCTAAGTTTCTGCAAGAAGATACAG